GAAGGGTGCAACAATGAATGAATGGAATTCCAGAATCTCTGTAGATGTTCATTGAAATGAAAAATAAACAAACTAAATTAAAAAAAAGATTAACTGTCTTCTCATTGTTTCTTCTTCCTCTTTTTGTAGATGGTTCAGAAGTGTATTCCCTTCTTAATCGTACATCTGAAAGATTCAACCCATAGCGATGTCATCTTAAACATCCTTATAGAGATAGCAGGCTATGAACCAGCGGCTTTGAACAGCTTTCTTCCGATACTGAAGGAGATTGGTGAGCGGTTCCCTTACCTCATTGGACAGATGGCGAGGATCTATGGAGCTGTGGGGCGCGTGGATGAAGTAAGTCAGCTCCCCCCTCTTCATTTCCTTTGATTCCATAGGCACTTAAGTTGTGAGCACTATAACTTGTCCTGGACTTCTGAGACTCCCTTCCTTCTATTTTAATTTTTTTTTCATATATTTTGCCTTTTGGGTCAAGGTATAGCAGGACTTTGAGGAAGGTTTAGGAAGTGGGAATCTTATTGTTCCAGTGGTCACCTGAGGAAGATAAAAAAAACCAACTCCACTCCTGTCAAGTTGATTGCAGCTCCTAGGCCCCTGTAGGACAGAGCAGAACTGGCCTGAAGAGCTCCCAAGGCTGTAATCCTTTACAAACACACATTGCCCCATCTTCCTCCCAGGAAGCATCTGGAGGTTCTAGTTGCCAACATTTTTAAGTGAATAGCACAAAGTGTAATCCATTGTACCACTAGGGCTCTTACTTGAGAAGATGAGTTAAAACAGACACAGTCATAAAACAAATGCAAGACGATTCATAACAACTAGTGGGAAAGAATTTTTATTTACTTTCTTGTTGTAGTTGTGCTTAACCCCCGGAGACCTTGGTAAGCAGAGCTTTAAGTCTCAGAAGACCACCCATTAATGAGAGTCCATAGCTCCCACGTCAATAACCAACTGGCTTCAGTAAATTTTTTAGTCCTCTAGATGATGTCCCTTTGGAAAGTGAAATAAATGTAAATGGATGTTTAGAAGTCCTAGCCTAAATATTTGCATAGTGGAATCTTTCAGCAGGGACAACAGGATGCTATCAGAGTTTGTAGGGATTAGACAAGGAAGAGTGTCCAAGGCCAGAAATTCATGTTCTGGAGAGTGTGTTAGTGTAAAGGAGCATGAGTGTGCGCGCGCGTGCGCACACACACACACACACACACACACACCTGATGATTTATTTATTTATTGAGATTTAGAGTTTTAAATTTTTTTTAAGTGAAATCAAAGCAAATATATAATTGCTTTCCCATTTGTTGTTGTTGTGTGTTGTGGAGCCAGAATCAACTCATAGCTGACCCTCCAGTGTGTTTTCAGAGACAATTAATGCCTCGGGAGGAGACTGGCCATCCTTCTCCCAAGGAGCAGTTGGTGGATTCAAACTGTGTGCTGTTGGGATTGCAACTCAGGTTCTTTCCTAGCAGTGGGCCAACAGAATGGCCTTCTTGTTTAGCCACTTATATATAATTGGCTATAAGGGAAATACAAAATTGTACAATTCAAAGGGATTTAAAGCGCAACTCCTTGACTATGCAAAAGGTAGAATTAAGTGACTTAGTCTGGCACAGACCAGTGTAGTGTCTGGTTAGAACTAGTGGTATTCTGAAAGATTTTTCTTTCATAACTTCTCCCAAAGAGGATGAGGGGAGCTGAGCTCACAAGGAGCCTGGGGCATGTCAATGGGGGGGCTAGATCTTCCATGAGGGTGTCTTTATTGTGAACATATAACCACTTTCTGTTCACTGTTGTTGCAATGCCTTGCATTTACGATGTTCTGCCTGCTGGTGACACTTTCGTGTGCCTTTTAACCTGTGATGCCAGCAGAGCCCACTGGTGTGCCCAGGTGACAGCTGTTTTGCCTAGCTCTGCTGATCTTGCAGATCTCTGTGAGAACTAAGAAATTCAATCTCTCACACGTAATTCCTGAAATCTTTCAAAATACATATTCTTCCTGTTCTTCAGTATTTGTTATTACTTTCTTGTTACAAAGATATTTATGACTCATTAATGTAAAATAATATACTTAAATACATTAGGTGACTAATTTTCCATGGAAAATGTAATCTGGCATTTAAAAAATCAAGCCACAAGCAAAAACATTATGCCATATGCAGTTACGTCATTATAGTTTTGTCTGAATGAAGCTGTGATTAGGATACCATTGTGTGGCTCTCCAAGATGAAGGATATATCCCAGCGAGTGACTTCAGAATCCATTCTCACCCTCCATTACTTCACAAATACTTCTGAATGTCAGGATTACATGGGTAATGTTTTAAATAAGATAAATGCTTGGATTATAGAGTAAAAAACCTCATTGCCATCAAGTCAGAACTGACTCTTAGCTGACCCTCCAATGGATTTTCAGAGACTTTAAATGATATGGGAGAGGTTGTCTGTCTTTCTCAACTTGGAGCAGCTGGAGGATCCGAAGCACCTGATTTTGGGTTGACAGCACACCTCTTTACCCACTAGACCACTAGGGCTCCCTTCGGCCCCTTGAATACCTACTCTATCAGCATCTCCAGGAAGAGACCCCGACGTCTCGGTTCACAAGAGCCTCGGCAAGAGTTATTTGGATACAGCTCATTTATGGATCGACATTTGAGAACCATGAACTTGGAGTCACATCCTGCAGAATTCCATGGCTTTCCCCTCTTGCTGTCATACTATTACTAAACTCATTCTATTCTGGTCTCATTTTAAAAAGGCACTTAATTTGAAATTTTCTATTTGACACCAAAGTGAAATTTCAATTGTGCTCAGACTTTATAATTATTACATGATTAGTATTGCTAGAATTGAAAGGATTTTAGAAAAGCCAGTACAGTTTTGAGACTCTTGTTCCAATCACTGCGTTATGCAGTCTGTGACTAGATGCACCCCACTGTAAGACCTCTTCGTTATTGCCTGGCCTCCAGCAAACCTCACCATTCCATTTTTTTAAGGGGGAGTGAGGAGTCTCCTGAGGGCATGCCCTGGTGAGGGTCCGAGGGGAGAGTCAGTCTGGAATCGCATACCTTATTAATTGATTTATGCTTCACCTTCTGCGTCTGCAGGAATCCAAGTGTAAGTAATCAGGACCCATCTGGGTGGACAAACTGTTTCAACAGCTTGACAGCAGTATCTTCATTATTCTCACTTTTGCATCCAGCAGAGAAGAGTTGAAAATAAAACCTTACGGATCCTTATTTTCCCTTTGTCTTAAGCTAAGTAAAGCAAGAACTTTCATCCCATAAGTGTAAATGAAACTATGTTTAATCACCACATAGTATTTGGGGGAAGCTCTCGGGGGAATCTATACAATGCTTGTCATTGTTATGTGCTGTTGGGTTAAGTAGCTTGCAACTAACTCATAGCACCCTGCTACACACCAGCTCTGAACCCTGCTCTATCCTGAGCCAGTCTCACTGTCTCTGACACACTTAGTCCCATTACCCCAGTCACTGAGTCAGTCCATCTCATCCAGGGTCGTCTTCTTTTGCACTGACTTCCACCTTTCCAAGCATAATGTCCTTCTCTAAGGACTGGTCTCTCCTGGCAACATGCTCAAAGTATATCCGATGGAGCTTCATAGTCCTTGCCTCCAAGGAGCAATTGGGTTTCACCCTCTCTAGGACAAACTCGCTCTCTCTTTTTTGTGTGTATGTCTGTTTATGTTTTATTGACTATTCAATAGCATTTGACTGTGTCAATCTTAATAAATTTTGCCTAACGTTGTAAAGAATAGGAATCCCAGCATACATAATTGTGCTCACATGAAACTTATAGACTGACAAGCTATTGCACAAACACACCGAGGGAACCCTTATGATTTAAAATTAAGAAAGGTGTGCTGTCTCAGGGTTGTTGTCATCTCTCCATACTTAACCAGTCTCTATGCTGAGCAAAGCAGTGTATGGAATTCATGTGAATATGAATCTTTTCCTGTGAGTTGCCACTGTAGTTCTTCTTGGCACAGATAAATGACTACTGCCAGCATCACACCCATTTGTTAAAGGCTCTCAATTGGGATTCTGTCAATTCTTTGATTCCTTTTATTTGCCAATGAGTTCAGCAGAGCTGGGACTTCTTGCATCAGTATCATCGGTTTTCAAACATATGCTTCTTCCTGAAATGGTTGAACATTTAACAATACCTTTTGGTAAATAACTCTTTAATTACAATAATTCTTTGATTTTTTGAGCTTCCTGAAATACTCACTATTTTGCCCATAGAATCCTCCAATATTTCAACCCAAGCTTGAATTTTTTCATCAATTCTTTCAACAAACACTTTAGTTTTTAAACTGACATAATTGCTCTTCAGGGCTTTGGAAAAGTCTTGTCAGCAGACTTGCCCAATGTAACATGTCTCCTGACTGCCAAGGGTTTTGAAAGTGGATCCAAGTAAGGTGAAATAATTAAGAATTTAAATCTTTTCTCTGCCTATCATGATGTTACCTAATGGCCCAGTGGCGAGGACTTTTTTCCCCCTTGGTGTTGATATGCAATCCATATTGAAGACTGCAGTCTTTGATCCACTGCAGCAATCTCTTAAGGTCCTACTCACTTTTGGCATGCAAGCTTGTGTCATCAGCACAACACAGGCTGTTGATGTGTCTTTCTCCAATCTGGATGCCACACTCTTCTTTCATGAAGTCCAGCTTCTCAAATTATTTGCTCAGCATACATTGAATAGTTTATAAGACTGTCTTGGTTAGTAAGCCTCTGAGTTAAGAAGACTAATATCTCCATTAATAAGACTCTGAGTTAATAAGAGTATTATTCAAATTTATGCATCAGCCACAAATGCCAAAGGTGAAGGAATTGAAAATACTTACAAGCTACTGCAGTATGAAATTAACTAAACATATAATCAACATGTATTGGTAATTACTAGTTATCGTTTGCTCTCTTGGTGGTCCATGGTATATTTAATACTCTTCTTCAGCACCATTGGTCAAAGGCATTGAGTCTTGTTCTGTCATCCTTAGTCATTGTCTAGTTCTCCAGTGCATAGGAAGCAACTGAGAAGACCCTGGCCTGGGTCAGGCACACTTAGTCTCTAAACTGATACTGCTTTTTAGCACTCTAGAGAGTTCTCTGACAGCAGATTTTCCTAATGCTATTTTTCTTTTGATTTCCTAACTGTTGATGTAAAAAAGCGTTGATTATGGAGCCAAGCAAGCAGAATTTGTTATGCTCAATCTCTTCTCCATCTCATAATGCTGCCAAATGGCCTGTTGGTGAGAATATTTTTCTTGATAATTGAGTTTCAATCCATATAGAAGACCGCAGTCCTTGACCTTTT